TTCGGTAAGTAGCTTGCACCACCATCTTCATTCTTTGAGCCAATTTTCAAAATTACTTAATGTTGTCTAGCCGATAATGATATCTTGGCAACAGTAGAAACCTTTTTCCCCAACTCCAGTTTTATCTCCAATACTAACAGTCAATTAGCTTAATTTAATTTTATGATTGCCAAAAAAACTCATGTTCTGACCTTGTCCAGAGGGCATGGCCAATAGTGGACCCAACATGGCAATAGTGGAAACTTTTTTTCCCAACTCTAGGTTTATCTCCAATACTAAAAGTTAATTAGCCTAATTTAATGTTATTATTGCCAAAAAACTAATGTTCTGACCTTGTCCAGAGGGCACGGTATAGTATCCAAACAGATCCATGCAGAATCTAACAGAAACCAATTCTAATCCATGCAGAACCTATGCAGAACATCTCAGAAATCAAACCAAACCCATGCAGAATCTAACAGAAACCAACCCTAATCCATGCAAAATCCATACCCTGTCTATCAGAAACCCAACCAAATCCATTCAGAATCCATCAGAAACAGAACAAAAACATGGAGAATCTATCAGATACATATCATGATCCCAGCCATAGGGTTCCAGGAATTTATTATTGGAATGCTGACCCCCCTAAAAAAAAAAAAAAACATTTTTTTTTTGGTGGGTTTTATTATGTTTTATTATTAGGCAGCCAACATTACTGTTATCCCATGATACCCTTAATTTCATGGTGGCTTATGAAATGTTACATCCGCATCCCCATCTTTTCTTGTTTTTTTTGGGGGTATGTCCCCATCCCCTCAGCCATGGTGGTGCAACCCGCTGCCTGGATGCTGTCTCATAGGCCAGAAACGCCTCAAGGGAACGTGATGACGTTTTCATGCGATGGGAGATGGGAGATGGGAGATGGCTACCTATTCATCTACTGTGTATATATATATAGATAGTAACCAAGAGATAGAACCATAGTATGGTCATTTAACACTTTTCTTGGAGTGGATTTTACTTTTCTACCCTCTTTTGGGGTTGCTGTATCATATTAAACTATATACATATATACACACTACGTGTAGATACTAGTTGTCCAAATGCAGGAGGTAAGCAACCAGCATCTATGCATGATTCACGGAAACAAAAAAAACGTGATGATATTTCACCAACAAGGATGTGGCCCAACAACAATTTGGACCTAGCACCCCCTTGCCATGACAGAATTCCATTCCCTAGATGTAGTCTTTCTCTTCCAATCTTGCCCCGGTCTTGCAGGAATCCCTGAATGGCTCAAGAATTCTAAAGGCTAAACAACCAACAACAGGCACTATTTTCTTTTTTGGCAACGGCAGCCCATCAACTGAAACTACTCCTACGGTATGTCTGCTACTTACTACACCTCGACGGTGTATGGTTTTGTGATGTTTTATGTACTTTACATACCCCTCTCACAATGGCCATTTCAGCTGGCAAGGGGAAATTTCAAGTTTCAAAAGGTAGCTTGTCTACTTTCTGGGTCGTTTTCGATCTTCAGCTTTAGTCCCCAGTGATATCCGTTGGGGGCATAAGTTCTAATTCCTTGTCAATCTGGCGTATCACCATGTTTGTTAAATCCAGTGCAATCTGTCGCAGCGTTTCCATAATTTTCAAGGATCATTTGGGTAGAACACACAAAAACCAAGAGTAGATATACATTATATATATACATTATATATATATACACATGGCTAATACATTAGCTAGTAGATGCACATTGATTTTCCATCCGGGTATGGTTCAAAGTTGACCAAAAACCAACAGCCGGGGCCTGGCCCTGGCCACCACTGGCCCATCTGGGCAACAACACCGGCACGTTGTTGCGGCGGCTTGGAAGCAGCAGTGGAACTCCAGCACCTGCAAAGGCAGTTGCTGGGAAAGTGGCCAGAAATGCTGATTCTTTATGATGTATTGGTAATCAAGGAGAATGAACAAAATACATATATATATATATATACATGTATCAAGATAAACATATTGGTAATGATATATTGGCAATATTGGTTTTGAAAAGTTGGTAATAGTTAAGCCAATCCTCATTCATGTCATATCATGATATATGATGTTTGTTTCCAATCATAGATCATCATAGATCTGTATCTTAATTTTGATTCGGATTGACACGCATCCCGAGGATCCCATGGGTTCTTTGCTCCCGGGCCGAGCAACAGCAGCGTCCACGGGCCCAACTGCCACCACAGCCTGCATGTCCCAAGCAACCGAGGAATTCGATGATTGCGGGGAAATTCATAGACATGCCGCGTGAAACTGACAAGAACATCAAGAACACACTAATTTCATGAATGGATATGTTCAGAACATACTGAATGGTATCTGATATGGTGATTCAAATGTTCAACACGATCATCCGGTAGAAAGTAACAGATTAGCTGCCTCCTGTAGCTGCGAATGAGGGCCTCTATGATGTGAAGTCTAGGGGATCCTCGATCATCGATAGACTATGTGACTGGGGCTTTGGGCATACAATGGATTGGTGTAAGGGAAGATTTGCGCAAATGATATTCATGCAAAAACCCATGGGATATAATGGGAAAACCCATTGAATCATTGGGGTTCCTGATTAATTATCATTTGTATAATGTACCATTTGGTTATTTAGCATAGCCATGGAAAATGGCCCATTTATAGATGGTTTACCTATTATAAATGGTGGATCTTTCCATGGCTATGTAACAAATAACCGGAGGGTAAATATTCAGGGAACATTTGTTGTTGAATGATTCATCATCCCTTCGACCAATCCCAGGAGCCATGCCAAGTCGTATATCTGCTTGGTGGTTGACATGGTTGGGTAGGTCAACCCCTCTGAAAAATATGAGTCACTTGGGGCCGGATGACATTCCCAGCTGAATGGAAAGTCATCAAATTCCATGGTCCTGATGAACCCTGCTCCAAAAATACAATATGCTTCAAAAAACTCCATCTATATAACTCTAGGACCTCGTAACTTGTAACCTGCCATGAATCATAACTGCTAATTCAATCTAAATTGCTGAGCATACAACTGGCTCACTCCAACAACATCCCACATGCTACAAGCTTCACAACCACATGCTTTTTCTCCAAATACCTGGGCAACAACAACATGTCCAACTGGTTTTGCCAAAAAAAAAACTGTCAGAGGATTACACTCTGGGGGTCAATCCACCATGTCAAGACCCATGACATCCCCATGATATCCACGATGAAACCGAGTTCCAGGCCACAGGAGAACCGGAGCTACCTGTTTGGGGCTGCTTGGGGCGGTTGCAAGATCTGCGCGAGTCCTTCTGTTCAAACATATATCGATGATATAATCAATATATATATATATATATGTAGGAGATGTGCATAGTCATAAGATTTCTTAAAAACTCTTATCACATGTATATATAATTATATAACATGTTTGCGTATTGTTTGCATATATATTATTTATATATATTACAAACATAGGCAACTTGATAAACAAACAACACAGAACCTGTTCTTTTGCAGCTAGCAATCCTGGGAATGGATACTTCGGCGCCAAACGGTCAGAAATCTGAGGGAAGTGGGCTGTGTTGAAAAAAAACAATACTGTAATGATCTATGGTGAAGTTGGTTAACTTCAACTATACAGATCTATTTACAGTTTATTAATGGTTGCTTAATATTGCTGTAAACTTCTTCCCAAAAGCATCCATCCCACGTTGACATAGGCGGAAAACTGCAAACCCTGAGCCACTGCCTCCCCTAAAACGTTTGTGCTTGTCATTGGGGGTTCCAAAAATGATTGAACATGAAAATGTCGGTGGTATCGCAAAGATGCTAGGAAAGTGTGACAGCCAGTGAACACCTATCAAGTTTCATCCCGACCATTCCGGAACCCACACCAGAACCCGCACCGGAAGCCGCAGCAACCCTTCCAAAAAAAAGTCTAGGCTAGAAAAACTAGTCTAGAAAGGCACCCCCCCCTGGCAGGGCGACATGTAAACACGTGACTAGATTTGCTCGAAGGTCACATGAATGAGCCAGGCATGACAAAAAAACAAGTTCACCAGTCAGTGTAAACACAAGCTAAATGAAGCAATATTTACTTCTAAAGCATTTTTTTTCTATCTTACGCAACTGCTCCACAGCAACTAAACGCATGTTGGGGCGACTTTCCCGGGAAGTCCCCCCCAACTAAACGCAAGATTTTGGATCGGACAGGGTGAGTTCACTATAAGCGAGTAATGCTGTTGAGGACATCGGTAAAAATACAACGAATGGTTGAAACACGTTTCATTGGATTGGTTTAAGGGACATTTACAGGAAAAAAACATGAATTTGATGGGTAGAAACCATGGATTTCCTGTAGATTTTCCCAACCGGTCGCTTTTTAAACACGTGTCCGACCTGCAAAGGCACCACGGCAGCATGGAACATGCCCGTGAGAACCTGCATCCAGCAGCGCCAAAAATCAAGAACGTTTACCAATGAAAAGCCAATAATTGATCACAAATTCATAGGATTTTATATAATTGTATGGATTATATAGTCGATCTTTTTCGGAGTTGCTGCTTTTTGCAGTCTGAGATGCAGGAAGTTATAGGCCAGGATGGCTAAAACATTGGTGCCCTCGGTGCTCTCTGGCAACCTGCTATATAGGCACGTAGCAAATGGAACCCCCTATAATAGTTTCAATGATAGGTAAATGGTAAATTAATGTGACGCTTTTCCACCGCGAGTCTTAGAGTAGCCTCTGGGGTAACGGAAAACAACTGCGCCTTCTAGGGGGATGGTGATTTCTAGTTTCATGGAAGATCCCGCATGCCTGGTAATTAAACAAATGCTGCCTTCGGGTTGGATATATTCAAAAGTGATAGATCAATATAAAATAATATAAATCAATGTTCTATCTTTTTTGCTGGCTACTAAAGTTTCTACATCATTTTCTTTGGATGATCACTTCCCCCAGCACCACCACATTGCTCCATGACTGCGGCCAAACATTTTCGTCCAGCGAGGCTTAAGCGGCTAAAAGGCGTCGAGCTTGAAGGCATCCACCAAGACCTGCTCGCTGGAGAGATCCCACATCACCGGGCATTTTCCGCCAAAGCACATCCTCAGCTGAGTGAAAAAAACGCGGAAAGCTGTGGACAGTCGTGGTCGATAATCCGGATGATATATAGGTTAAGCGTAATGAGTCCGGCGCAAAACCAGATGGTTGAACAATGGGAAATGCTGAATTTCAGCTACTTGAGCTATACTTGAACGTGTTGGATGATTTGCGGGGGCATGTTTTTGTTCCTTCCTCATTGTCTATGGTGACGTAGGTCGCAAACAGCCTCACTGGAAGGCACCCGGGACGCTGGAAAACGAATAAAGCAAGGAGACAATGGTTCTTGAAAACCAGCTGTAGGGTTGCCTCCCAAATTTCCTTCTACCCTCTGGTAAACTAACATAATTATGGAAAACTGCCTATTTATAGCCGATTTACCTATTAACATGGTGATTTTCCATGGGCTATGTTAGTTTACCAGAGGGTAATTCTGGAATAGAACACCACCCTGGTGCTGGTCGATGTCTCCTCCATTTGAATGACTGGCTTGGGGTGACCGTAGGAATATCATGGAACATATGGGGCTCAAAATGACTCATTTACCCTTTGGTTTTTCAACATAGGTATGGAACATCACCATCTTTAATAAATCATCTATGAATATCTATGAATATCATTGAATATCTATGAATAGGCAATTTTTTCATAGCAAACTGATAAATAACCTATATCGGATATAAACATACATAGTTTTAATGGGATGGTTGAATATTGAACATGGCCAATTCTGTGGCTATCCCATTCGCCATAGCCCACAAGCCCAACAAGCACCCAGCGCTTGGTCCAGCGTCAAGGCAGCCATATCTGCATTGCTCTGACAAGTGAAAATCGGCCCGGCCTGCAGATTTTTGCTGTAAACCTCGGGAGACACCCGACACTCCGGAAACTCAAAACGCCTCAGGCTTGGAGGGTCATTCAAAAAAAAACAAATGTGTTCCATGTATGATATAATTGCCCATGACGGATCCATGGTGCTGCTATATATGGTAACATGGATCCCATCAATATACCCCAGTCATGTTAGCATATATACCAGCACCATGGATCCTATGGGTTGTAATATGATATAAAAAAAAGTAGATATGGACTGTACAAATACATATGGTAACAGCTCGCATGGTCATCTCAGCTCGCCCAGGTGCCATCTGAGGGCTACTGGCCAGGTTCCAGACCTTCGCGTGCCTAACGAGCAGTGAATATCTAGCGGTTTCATAGGATCATGGATGATATGGAGATACACAACGGGATACCATGAGGATCCATGAGGTATATAACCCATAAATGGAATATAATGGAATAGTATTGTGAAAAAATAGAGGATTATAGCGGGATTTAATGGGAATGCAATGGGATATCGAACATTGACTATAAGATTAATGTGGTACGGTCATCCTTCCCATTCCATGAAAAATTCAAATATGTTCTGGCGATGTAAATCCCTAGTCATGGATTGATGATCATCCCCCCATATGGATATATAATCCATCTTTTGACCCATGGCACCTGTGGCAATGTTTGGGGCTTCTATGGGTTTCTATACGTTAAATACAGGTGGATACCAGTGTTTCTGAATACAGGAAACATTACCCTCTGGTCGATTAACATAGACTCATAGACCCTGAAATTAGCCATTGTTTAGTTGAAACTCATCTTCCAACCCCGACAACTGCCAGGGTCGAACTGTTAGAACCCCGACACCGGTTTTAACTGTAACAATGAAAACCGGTGTCTTGTCGTATCATGACCTATCGCCTGGTGGAAAAATCGTGAGTTCGGTGACCGAGTCTCAGAACGGGTCGGGTCTTTTTGGGAACATCCAAAAAGAATTAAACATGACCAAGGAAAAAACTGACAAAAATAAGGTAAGTTATATGGTAAAGTGGATTGTTTCTCAATCTTTTCTCCATCTTGTCGGAGGTTATATAGGTGCATCATTTGGGATGGTTGGGCTGAAATGTCTTAGGGTAACAGTTGTCAGATCTACAGAATGTCATGTTTTACGCATGGCCAATCGTGATAGCTGCAATGCATATGTGTATATTAACATTTGTTGACACAGTGTTAAATCATGTTACGTATATGTAATATATACATGTATCTGTATAATCATGTATATAGTAGATGATTGTATTGTATCTGTATCTGTCAATGAAACTATGTGAAAACATCTCCATCGCAAGACTAGAGTAACATAGAGTAACGACATCTGCAACGACCCGTCATATCATACCTATCCAAGTTTTTTCAGAACACCATCTCTGAGGGACTTTGCCTTCAAATCCCTTGGTGGGAAACCAAAAAATCAATAGGACATTGTACTGGAGCAGTGACAACCTCCGCAACCCGCTAGCGGTTCTCAACATTGGACACGCGGATGCAAAAGGATGCAAAAGATATATACCTTTGCCATCAAATGCCGGCGTGATTTCCCCCATCTGAGCAAGTTGCCCGTCCAAGCCCGCTGTGACCAAGAGATTCTTGGCCTCAATGCCGTGTCCATGTGGACAAAAACACAGGCTGCGTGGTGGGTTCAACCCAAACTTGGAGCTGTTGCTCAGAATGGATAATTTTCATTAAAAATGCGAATCGGATATGATGTGACAATGTGATATTATATGATATGATATGATTTCATCAAACTTATCACACATGGGTTTGTCATGGTGTGTCGAACAAAAAGTATCAACATTAAGGATCAGGATCATGAATCCATTCTGGTCCAACTTCGCTACTCCATTTGGATTTGTCTGGAAATAGTGTACCCCTAAATCCATTGGATTATGATCATATTCCCCATTAAAATAATTTAAAATAGTCATTTGGGGGTATACCTTATTTTTAGACACACCCATTAAACAACAAGCCCAACTTCTGGTATTTCCATCGACAAAATTGCTCATCCGGACCTATAGATTCCCATCCATGGAAGGTTTCGGGTCAGGCAGAAAGACGAACTTATTGGCGCAACGGCCTTCGGTTCTGTCACTCAGTTTGTGTGTGATTGATACTGGTTGGTGGTTTGAACCCCTCTGAAAAATATTAGTCAGTTGGGATGATTATTCCCAATATAGGGAAAAAACATGTTCCAAACCACCAACCAGGATATGAAGGTTTCCCGAAATAGGGTACCCTAAATCATCCGTGTTTATAGGATTCCATGAAATAAACCATCCAGCGAGCTTGGGGTACCTCCATGACTATGGAAAACCCCATATTAAGAATACTAACGAATCCGGTGATCAGGGCTTGGTGACCCCCCGTGACTCTCAAACTTCCCATCACAGAGTCATTTGAGTTGCTCCATTGGTTTGCTTCATCCTCGATCTTTCCGTCGGTTAGATTCGGTCAGACAGTTAAAATCCATATACATAAATCCATCGTTTTGAATTATCTTGACTTATCCCCAAAGATTCCGAAGCTGCTTTTTCACTTGGCATGGCTCCGGACCCATCGCAAAATGCCAAGTGTCAGGTGCATCTTGGAGACTGGTGCAGGCCACGTCATGCGCCATGAGCCTCGGCTCACATCGACACGTGTTGCCGAGACGATTGGTGCCAAGGAACGACCATTGGTAGAGCTGAAACAGGTCCCACACAGCCAGGAAACTAGCATGGTTTTATCATCGACTTTATGAATCTTTATGAGCTTCATGCTTCCGGGATGGTGAAATAAAATATAAAATAAAGGACCTGAAATGACATTGACAATGCTTCACCATCGAATTTCGTTGAAGATTGCTATGGACACCTTCGGGACAGCCATGCAAAAAGTGTCCTCATGGCTCGGACATGGACAAAACCCTGGTACCGTGCCGTGAACCCCAAGTCATAGCTGGGATTTATGGATGTGAATAACCCACTAAAAATGTATCTATAGGTATTGACCCATACCCATTTTTGGTTTTATTCATACCCCATCATTCTGAATTCAATACCTGACATGGTTCAGAAAACAGCTCCCAAAGCAGTCACTTTCAACCCAAATCTTCCAAGCAACGTCCACAGGATTGGATTCTCTGCCTTATTTGCCACTTTTCGCACCTGAAGGTCGCAATCGGATGATAGTATTGCCATGTTTGATATTTTGCCACCAACAACTATGGCTCAAGTATTGATTGAAGTTGATGTTCATCATCAGATAATATTCCAAACCTGATTCAATCTTAAGTTCTATATATCCTTTAGATCTTGATCATAGGCAGCGAGGCGACATTCCGACGTTTGGTTACATATGTTCTTTTTGACTGAACGCATGAGTGGCAACCAGCCAAATGGCGATGGATATATGCGTCTATGCTGGGAGTTTATAGGCACCTCTTTCAGTTCGATGTGGCATGAGGCGCCACAACTGATCTCCCATGGGCCATATGGGGTTGTACAAAAACCTGGTATCTTTTTAGATGATCCAAAATCACGTGATCGTGATTTTTTTTTTACTCTTATCGTTTTCTCAGGTGGTGAGCTTCCTGTAGACAAGAAGTGTGAATTTTCCAGCTTTCTGTGGGTGTGAAAGCATCCTTGGTCGAGAGTCAACGGATGCAATCTGTTGTTTTCATTTCCTTCCATCGCCTTTCATTTTGAACTACTCTCATGTTCCTTTCATTTTGCATTCATTTCCTTTCATGTTGCATTAATTTCCTTTCATTTTGCTTTCATGTCCTTTCATGTTCCGTCGCTATGTATCGAAGATACAAGTCCTCGAAAGCTGACATGCTCAAACCGGTCAGGTGGGTATCCGCCCAAACGCTCGCGTTTTTGTTTCATATTTCGTTATCGCTCTTTGTGATCGTTTAGCTATCGTTTTGGAGGCCTGTGCAGGTTGCCATTTTCAGGCTTCATGAACATGTACATGTATAAGATTATAAGCTCGTTATCGTTTTTTACTCGTATCGTTTTCTGGGCCGGCAATGCATTGGCAGTGTTAAGGTGCAAGCCAAGCTCAAATGAAATGCCCGAGGTTATTAATATCCCATACAACTACTACCATCATTTTCTTTAAGAATCTTTCAGGCAGATACCACTTAGCAAATATCTGACCGGACCACCTCATCAAAAGGGCTGACTTACCATCTGGACAAATCCACATCACAATTCCCAAATCACAAACCAACCAATTGCTGGTGTGGTTTTGCTGGTTTTCCTTATTCTGACCACATTATTACTATCACCTTTCACGCGGCGGTCAGCGAGATGGTCATACACTGCCGGGTGACGTCATAGCAGCAAACCGCACCGTTGTCGGTGCTGGCAAAGCATTGGTAGGGACTGTGTTGACTCCATATGGCACACTCTGCTTCGCCGTTCAACCTCAGGTCTTCCATTCAAAGGATGCCAAAAGAAACAGGGGAAAATCAGCCACATCAGAAGTGTACAACGGTTCTGCGGTAGAGTACCAGAGGCTATACTTTTTCGAATCGTTCGTCGGGGTTTCAAGGGACCCGAAACAAAGCCAACAAAAACCATCATTTCGAGCTAGTTGAAGAGACAAATTTGGTGTGTCTAAAAATTGGGCATACGACATACCCTCAAATGGCCGTGCTATTGGGGAAAGAGTGTGATCAACCATCAAATTGGGGGTTACTATTTATTTTCAAACAGACCTAAGTAGATCGCCGTGAAAACCACGGGAAATCGTGGGAGCCCCACCCCATGTGTTTGGTAATTGTTGGTTGCCATCTAATTGCATGCATCCATGCGCCACTTTCTAATGGTAGTTTCACTTTGGCTTAAAATTCATTTCTATGCCGTACATTTGCACATGTACTGGTTGGTGGTTGACCTACCCCACTGAAAAATGATGGAGTTCGTCAGTTGAGATGATGAACTTCCCAATATATGGCAAAATAAAAGCCATGTTCCAAACCACCAACCACATAAGTTGGTTTATAAGGCCATCCAAAGGGTAGATTTACCATAAACCCACAGAAAAACCTTGTCTTGACCTAGCTACGTATCGACCGGCTTGGGGTTCGTAGGGGTTAGCTTCTAAGCAACCTTCGCTACTGTGGATGGTAACTGTTCCGATTCCTATGAAACGCTGTGAATAATTGGGGTTATGGGATGTTTCCCATCTACCAACTGGTGCCGGATTTCGCAACCATCCACAGGAACTGAACCTGTAAACGGTTTTTTTTTGTGGGTTTAAGCCACCAGAAATTGGGGTTTCGTTTTCGGCATTTAGTTAGCCTAGTTCGGGAAATGTACTTGGAGGATCATTCCACCTACGTGGCTTTTAATACCCCTGGTTATTAAGTCCCCATGTGTGGATGATCTCATTTGCCAAAATGGGTTGCACGTATGGTTACTAACCAGTTACTAGCTATCACAGTATCTAAGAGATGTTGAGTAGGGCTTACCTTTAGTCTATGGTTGCTTCATCTAACAATAGATAGATTTGCCATAAACCTTATCAGTTAATTAAGAACCTACTTATCACCAACAATAGATAGAATTACCAAAAACCTTATACCACTTAACCTATAGTACTATAGCTACTGATCAATCAATCTTAGCTATCTATACCCATATGCTCCATGGTGCTGGAAAATTTACCAACATTTGCCCAACATAAATCATCCAGTTTTGTAGCTAAATATACCCTCTGGTAAACATACAAAAAGCTATATGGAACATGGCCATTTGTAGTCGATTTACCTATTGAAAATGGTGGATTTTTCCATAGTTATTTTAGTTTACCAGAAGGTAAACCTCCATTTTCCCATGGGTTTTCCTATGTTTTCCCATTTTCCCATGGTTTTTCAGGTTTTTTCCCCATGTTTTATGCCCCCATTGCGACCAAAGAAACGCTGCCAAGGCCGCCTGCTTCGGCTGCCGCACGTCGATCAAGCCCAGGCGATTGTCGAAGGCCGCCGAAAGCAGCACTGCCTCGGGGATTTTTACACCATCCCAAATGTGGGTAAAACAATGGATATATTCGATATAATGGATATCGGATATTTTTGGCACGATATATATATATTATAGTATATTATAGTATATTATATAATATTGTATAATATAGTATAATATAATATAATTATATTATATTATATTATAATATTATGTTATATTATATTATATATAATGTTATATTATATTATATATAATGTCATTGCTGGATATTACTGGATATGAACTATAGTTATTGGAAAGATATGGGTTTTTACAAGGCATACATAGGATATGCCATAGTTCTGCATGGGTAGTTCTTGTTGAATCATCATGAACCAATAACTAATGTGGGTAAAATAATGCCACAAACATCCATAAACTAGCCATGACTGGGAATGGTAAACATAGCACCTATAAAAATGGTGATGACTGGGGGATGGTTTCTGGCATTGATTTGCCCACATTGTAATTCTTGGAAACATGTGGAGGTTTCCATAGTCATGGTGGTACCCCAAGCTCGCTGGATGGTTTATTTCATGGGAAATCCTATAGTAAAATGGATGATGACTAGGGGGGTACCCCTAGTTATAAGTTGGTTTGTAAACTGTAAACCATAGTAACTATAGATATATAACTATCATAAACCGTAGTTATTGGAGTTATTTGAAGCAACTGAGCGATTCCGAATTGGGGCACCACCAACCGTAGGGCTACCCCTCAGGTCCTTGATTTTGGCCCATACCATCCCATACCAATATGGATAATGAGTGGATATCATTGGCTAGTTTTTTTTTGCATGGATATTATTGGCGTAATGATGGAATGATATATGATAAAAAAAAAAATAATAAATGGTCTGATGATGGTTAAGAAGATAATCAATGGGCTGACAATGGGCTGACTATGGTTTACGGTAACAGGGAGAAGTATGCTTTGATTTTTGGGTCATAATTTAACTAAGTTCAAGACCTATACACTGTAGGAGAGCTGAAGGCACCCAGCCAGGCATACGCAAAAAAAATGCACAAAAAATAACATACTAAAACATATGTGAAACATATATAGGAACATATGTGAAACATATATAGGAACATATGTGAAACATATGTCAAACATATGTAAAACATATGTCAAGCATATGTCAAACATATGTCCGACATATGTCAAGCATATGTCAAACATATGTCAAACATATGTCAATCATATGTCAAACATATCTCAAGCGTATGTCAATCATATGTCAGACATATGCCAAACATATGTAAAACATATGTCGAACATATGTCAAACATATGTCCGACATATGTCAAACATATGTCAATCATATGTCAGACATATGTCAAACATATGTAAAACATATGTCAAAAATATGTCAATCATATGTCAGACATATGTCAATCAGATGCAAAACATGTGCAAAACGTATGTCAAACATATGAAACATGGAACACACACATATATATATATATATAGTTTTTATTTGTTTATTAATATATGCATGCATTTATGCTCAGTGATATAAATATGTTGTCACCTTACGGAGAGAATTACAACGGCTAATTGTTGCTGCAAGTCCATGGTCAAGCACTCCCAATGTTGCAAATTTCATCCAGTCTGGTTAGAAAAGGTATGCACACTGAAAGCAGCGTGGCTTTACAAATTCAGCAAGTCTGTGCATATTTCACTATCCCAGTTGTTTAACATACTGTCTTTGGAGTTCACGTGCAAGTACTTGGAACTGTCCTGTGCCGGAAGTCCAGAAGTGACATTATCCTCAAAAGATACTCCGGTCTTCCGACACTGCCCGTAATCAACAACATCGATGAGCATATAGTCAATAGAGTACAGTATAGTGTAGGATACTTTGAAGTTAAATCCTAGCAACACACTCTCTGACAATGATGGTTCCAACAAAGAAAGAGGTAGTGAAAAAAACACGACATTTAGACAAGACAAAATGCACGGATGCTTGCACAAGGAAAAACATAAAAGATACATAAACACCAACACATGGAAACACGTGGAAACACATTGTTTTGCATACATTGCCTACATATAATTCAGCCTTTCCAAATCACAAACAGGTTTATGTTTCACCCAAAGTTGGGCAACAATGTTCAGGTTAATGTTTGACAATTTTACGTTTGCGAACTGGTTATGTTTTGGTTGGTGTAATTTACGTGGCAGTTTGCATATTTATGTTAATAATTATCTTGATATTTATCTGTTAATAATTATCTTGATGCATTCAAGATATCTCTAATATGTCTATATGAAACAGGAGACCTGAAACAGATACAGATACCAGATACCAGATATACATATAAAAAAAATAAACATGCATATCATTGTAAATAAATATATATTTCATTGTATGAAAACATAATATGTGAAACATATATGAAACATATATATATAACATCTATGACATATCTATGAAATATAACACGTATGTGATGGTTATATATATATATATTATATGAAACATGAAGTGAAACATGATGATGAAACATATATATGAAACATTTGTGAAGTATGTACATATATGAAACACATGAAGCACCCAAATAAGCATGCTTATGCTAGTGATTTGGATGGATTTTGCACTTGATTCTCTTATCTTTGCTCAGGGATCCTGAACGAATTGGCAACATTTTGGCATGCTTGGTCAATCAGTTTCCATCTATATTAGGTTTAAAAAAAAAAAACATTCGTAACCCATGACATCTAGGTTAGTCGGATTAGGTTAGATTTGGTGAAACAGTCTGGTATCTATGTTAGGGGGTGTTGTATGGATTTTGCACTTAATATGCAAGGTCTATGGATGAAATTGGTGTATTTGAATCATGTTGTTGTCTATGTTAGAGGCCGCGCACATGTTTTGCAATCGATTTGAGAGATCCATCTTGGTGGGTCTTGCTTTTTAAAACCAACGAAGCATTAGTCGCAAAATGCACTTTGGGCAATCTGATGATATTGGGGAAAATCCCCTCACATATATATAGATCTGCTGATGTTCTGCACATCCATGCTCGTGGACTCTTCAAACCTTGAAACACATAAAAAGCAGGACTAGCATGACTCTAGACAATTTCCATAGTCTATGTGAGCTGGAGTTTTCATCCCACCGCTATGTTAGTGGCCTTTTGGGGGGGTGTTCCAATCTATGTTAGTGCTCGATCTTTTTAAAGATGAGTTTAAAATCGCATGTTTTCACTTGGGGGCAACTTGGTCAAGCCAATTTGTCCCAATCTTTCCAGTATCTATTTTAGTCATGGTTTCTAGCCCGGTGTGTTTGCATGGTGCCATATCTGTTAAAGCCTATGTTTGCCTCTGTTTTATTTGCGCTCACACAAAGTCTTTGATGGGATCCATGTTTCTTTCAATCTTTTCAAGCTAGTGGAGGTCTGTGCTAGTGATCAAAGTGGGTTTTGCATTTTGCCGCACAATTCGCAGGGCCCACCTTTGCGACATTTAACATTCCCAATATTATTGCAACTCCTGATGGATGTCTATATTAGTGGTTCATTTCCAGCTAATATGTTGCCAAGAGCTACCTCAAGGTCCATGATAGTGTGTCTGTTTGCACAGTCAACTAGAACACAAGCATGATTGTAGAACTCTCTGGATCTAGGTTAGTGTTTTTTCGCGGGTTGCATTTTGTCTGTGGTGTTTTGGGCCCCTAACAGGAATATCAATTGCCTGGTGATGAGCTTCGTTGAAGTTTCGAATTTGTTCTTCCAGATGATCGTTATATATATATGTGTGTGTATATGTATAGTTTTAGGATGTTTTAGGTAGTTGCTAACATAGATCTCGAAGTTGAAGTGTGGAAAATACAGGCCCATCATAGAAAACCACTAGCATAGACTCCCATTTGGAATTTAAAACAGAACAAACATAATGAGTACCACAGAGACCCTGTGGATTGAGTTGCAAAACGCAAAACCCGGTTTAATCAATAACATAGACCTTCAATATCATACCAAATCAAACACAAACTGCATAACCACGCACATGCAAAGGATCAGTGACATAGCTCCTGCAATGATTGACCAAGAACATAGACTTAACAAAGCCCTTAGATGCCAGACTGATTCACCAAACATGCCAAACTCATTCAGGCTGCTAACATAGATGTTGAGAATTAAGTGCAAAATCCATACAAAAAACACTAACATAGACTTTCATGTGGACTTGCCAAGAAACAAAATTTGTGGGAGACTACTAGCATAGATCCTGGAGACTGCGCTGCCAACTGCAAAACCACAAACGCCACCAACGACTCACGTAGATCTTGAGTTTCAAACAGAAAACACCACATAGGAGGACCAAAACAGATTTTGGAGGATGCAAGCCTGATGTAGGCCTGACCTCCCAGAAAACAGGCGAGCTGGACTGAACAATGCTGTGTGATATTGAACTGCATCAGGTCGAAAATAGCAATAATGCAGGTTCTAAAAAAAAACACACTGATTTTTTCGTTTGTAAAAAGAAAAAGTATCCCGGTTCTTAAATATACCATTTTTGACCTCGCACAAACCTGTAGTCGTAACCCCAAATGAAAAATGTTGTTTTTCTGGGACGTTTTCGTCCAGGCCCTATATGTTTCCAACCCAATCCCTTGACTATCGCCAACTTAGTGTTCAACTTCCCAAGTTTGGATATCATATAAGTCGAGCTTTGGTGGGAAGAATGGTGACCATGTGTATTTTTGGAAACGCCTTGAGTTGTGATGGTTTCCGGAGTTTCAGTTTTTTTTTTTTTTTTCGGGCGATGTTTACTGTACATTAAAAAAGCGTAGTTTAAACAAACTAAAATAGGTTTTGGCTACATGCAAAAAGTTCACCCGTATACCGAAATGAACTCAACGGCCTTAGTAACACATGTGTATCTTAAATGTTTAAATGTAGTAGGATCTTATTTTTGAAAAAACTACCTTAGGGTTTATGTATGACATTAAAAGGATATGGGTATCATATATGTCATAAGGT